ATAGCTTAGTATAGTTAGTAATACTATAGCTTGATTATGTTGAAAATTGTAAGCATACTCGTTTTATCGATTAACGAGCCACATTCGAAGATTCTCTCCTAAAACAGTATAGCTTAGTATAGTTAGTAATACTATAGCTTGATTATGTTGAAAATTGTAAGCATACTCGTTTTATCGATTAACGAGCCACATTCGAAGATTCTCTCCTAAAACAGTATAGCTTAGTATAGTTAGTAATACTATAGCTTGATTATGTTGAAAATTGTAAGCATACTCGTTTTATCGATTAACGAGCCACATTCGAAGATTCTCTCCTAAAACAGTATAGCTTAGTATAGTTAGTAATACTATAGCTTGATTATGTTGAAAATTGTAAGCATACTCGTTTTATCGATTAACGAGCCACATTCGAAGATTCTCTCCTAAAACAGTATAGCTTAGTATAGTTAGTAATACTATAGCTTGATTATGTTGAAAATTGTAAGCATACTCGTTTTATCGATTAACGAGCCACATTCGAAGATTCTCTCCTAAAACAGTATAGCTTAGTATAGTTAGTAATACTATAGCTTGATTATGTTGAAAATTGTAAGCATACTCGTTTTATCGATTAACGAGCCACATTCGAAGATTCTCTCCTAAAACAGTATAGCTTAGTATAGTTAGTAATACTATAGCTTGATTATGTTGAAAATTGTAAGCATACTCGTTTTATCGATTAACGAGCCACATTCGAAGATTCTCTCCTAAAACAGTATAGCTTAGTATAGTTAGTAATACTATAGCTTGATTATGTTGAAAATTGTAAGCATACTCGTTTTATCGATTAACGAGCCACATTCGAAGATTCTCTCCTAAAACAGTATAGCTTAGTATAGTTAGTAATACTATAGCTTGATTATGTTGAAAATTGTAAGCATACTCGTTTTATCGATTAACGAGCCACATTCGAAGATTCTCTCCTAAAACAGTATAGCTTAGTATAGTTAGTAATACTATAGCTTGATTATGTTGAAAATTGTAAGCATACTCGTTTTATCGATTAACGAGCCACATTCGAAGATTCTCTCCTAAAACAGTATAGCTTAGTATAGTTAGTAATACTATAGCTTGATTATGTTGAAAATTGTAAGCATACTCGTTTTATCGATTAACGAGCCACATTCGAAGATTCTCTCCTAAAACAGTATAGCTTAGTATAGTTAGTAATACTATAGCTTGATTATGTTGAAAATTGTAAGCATACTCGTTTTATCGATTAACGAGCCACATTCGAAGATTCTCTCCTAAAACAGTATAGCTTAGTATAGTTAGTAATACTATAGCTTGATTATGTTGAAAATTGTAAGCATACTCGTTTTATCGATTAACGAGCCACATTCGAAGATTCTCTCCTAAAACAGTATAGCTTAGTATAGTTAGTAATACTATAGCTTGATTATGTTGAAAATTGTAAGCATACTCGTTTTATCGATTAACGAGCCACATTCGAAGATTCTCTCCTAAAACAGTATAGCTTAGTATAGTTAGTAATACTATAGCTTGATTATGTTGAAAATTGTAAGCATACTCGTTTTATCGATTAACGAGCCACATTCGAAGATTCTCTCCTAAAACAGTATAGCTTAGTATAGTTAGTAATACTATAGCTTGATTATGTTGAAAATTGTAAGCATACTCGTTTTATCGATTAACGAGCCACATTCGAAGATTCTCTCCTAAAACAGTATAGCTTAGTATAGTTAGTAATACTATAGCTTGATTATGTTGAAAATTGTAAGCATACTCGTTTTATCGATTAACGAGCCACATTCGAAGATTCTCTCCTAAAACAGTATAGCTTAGTATAGTTAGTAATACTATAGCTTGATTATGTTGAAAATTGTAAGCATACTCGTTTTATCGATTAACGAGCCACATTCGAAGATTCTCTCCTAAAACAGTATAGCTTAGTATAGTTAGTAATACTATAGCTTGATTATGTTGAAAATTGTAAGCATACTCGTTTTATCGATTAACGAGCCACATTCGAAGATTCTCTCCTAAAACAGTATAGCTTAGTATAGTTAGTAATACTATAGCTTGATTATGTTGAAAATTGTAAGCATACTCGTTTTATCGATTAACGAGCCACATTCGAAGATTCTCTCCTAAAACAGTATAGCTTAGTATAGTTAGTAATACTATAGCTTGATTATGTTGAAAATTGTAAGCATACTCGTTTTATCGATTAACGAGCCACATTCGAAGATTCTCTCCTAAAACAGTATAGCTTAGTATAGTTAGTAATACTATAGCTTGATTATGTTGAAAATTGTAAGCATACTCGTTTTATCGATTAACGAGCCACATTCGAAGATTCTCTCCTAAAACAGTATAGCTTAGTATAGTTAGTAATACTATAGCTTGATTATGTTGAAAATTGTAAGCATACTCGTTTTATCGATTAACGAGCCACATTCGAAGATTCTCTCCTAAAACAGTATAGCTTAGTATAGTTAGTAATACTATAGCTTGATTATGTTGAAAATTGTAAGCATACTCGTTTTATCGATTAACGAGCCACATTCGAAGATTCTCTCCTAAAACAGTATAGCTTAGTATAGTTAGTAATACTATAGCTTGATTATGTTGAAAATTGTAAGCATACTCGTTTTATCGATTAACGAGCCACATTCGAAGATTCTCTCCTAAAACAGTATAGCTTAGTATAGTTAGTAATACTATAGCTTGATTATGTTGAAAATTGTAAGCATACTCGTTTTATCGATTAACGAGCCACATTCGAAGATTCTCTCCTAAAACAGTATAGCTTAGTATAGTTAGTAATACTATAGCTTGATTATGTTGAAAATTGTAAGCATACTCGTTTTATGGATTAACGAGCCGCATTCGAAGATTCTTTCCTAGAACAGTATAGCTTAGTATAGTTAGTAATAGTATAGCTTGATTATGTAGAATATGAATCGACGAATATTTATGAATCATCATCGATATTCATACAGCGAGCCTCGATGGAAAATCAATTTATCGAAGCGATTCTTGATTACTATGTTGTATCAGCAATGAAGTAATTGTATTCGATCTTTTATTTATATTTGTCACGTTCGTTTGGCATAAATCCGTCGACGCACGCAGACTATCGCTAACCATCGAATAGAAACTGACTTTGCGTTGTGAAAAGTTTCCGTTTCGAAAGGAGATGTGAAATCGACTGCGTCGTCGGAACTAAATAAAAAAACAAGCTCTGTCCAAACGCTGATTAATATTGCGGACAAAGAAACAATTTCGTCTCTTTCTTCTACAGGGTGTCCCAAAAATATCTCGCAATCCGAAAATGTGGGGTAGTTGAGGGTTCGCTCGAGCGATCGACCACGTTGTGGTTCGCGCCATCGCCTCTCATTGGTCGGTGTTTTTCGTTAATAACTCGTAAACAAAGCCGCGGATTGCATTTTCGCAAAGGACAAAGTTACTTAGAATGACCTCGGCTACCCCACATTTCCGGATTGCGAGACATTTTTGGGACACCCTGTATACTGTACAATTTACGCACGAATATTTCTCCCGATTGTTCATGTTACGAACTCGAACAAATTACAATCAAATTGACCAATATTATTTCTCATTGACTCCTAGCTACACGTTCTCCATCTTAATTGATACGAGAACTATTTCAAATCGAAACTGAATTGAATGTTATTCTGCAAAAAAAATGCGTTCATCGAGACATCGATTGCGAATAAAATTCATTTACACTCTAATGTATTTACTTCTAAATTCGTCGAATGCAAATGTTTCCATAAAAGATAACAGATTTAATAAAATTGATCATAATTACTCTGGTAATTCTAGCGCGATAATACCGTCACCTGTGTCTTAATCGTGGACGCCTATCAATTATTAATAATTAGGTCGTTAAGAAGCATTCGCATTGTTAACCGCTAACGTGAAATCGCGCGCCGCGGCGAGCAATAATTTACTATGTGAAACAGGAGGATATTAAACCGCAAGGTCTAAAGTTTCTTAGCAGGAACAACCAGCCATCGAATGCTCACCCTTATTTACGCACGCGGAACGGTAACATACAATGAACGTTCACTTGCTATTAAAATCTATCAAGCTATTACCAACTTCGATTCGTTAAGGGAAATCTCTTCCGCAATCCAACTGTAAGATCGAGTAACACGATTAACTGGCGCGTGGAATTACCAAAGTTTCTTCTTCAACAGTTACAACCATTCTCGACAATCCGTTACACGGAATGCGTAACTTGTTGTTCAGAACGACAATTTTGTTTACATACGATCATGGCGGGTCTAGCGATTGTCATAAATAAACTACGGAAGTTTACTTACGTGAAGTATATCGAAAAAAATCTAACGTTAAACGTGAAATTCATTTCATTCGTAACGGAAAACAATGCATCGTTTCCGTTAAATTCATTTCGAAAATCCTGTATATTCTCAACTAGATATTACTTCTTACGAAATTTGATATCCAAACCGGGTTTATTAACGCTTCGTGCCAGACATTCAAATTCAAGGTTTGAATTTTCAAAATGTCGGCTGCGAGTACACAGAATGTTCCGGGGAATAAACGAGTACTTTTCCTAATCGATATACTTCGTGGTTTAATATGCTCCGGGCCAAGCTTTTTTTCTCGATTCTTTACATTGACCATTTGATATTTTACTAAAACTTGTTGTATTATACGTAATTATTAATTATCGTGTATATAACAATGAAACAAACATGTTACGACCCATTCTTGTAATCGAAATTAATTCTTTAGTTCAATTGTTATAAACAATTTTTTTAGCTCATTAAATAAACATGTAAGCATGTACCATCGATGGTACAGGTGGCACGTTAAATAATATTTTCTATTTTTTGTGCATCTTACCGGAACCCATTCATTCCATTTCTTCAATGTGATGATCGCGGCAGGTTAGTATGTCCCATCGTATTTACAAACACGTGCGGCGCGCGTCGATGATAAGAAGAGGATTTCCGTTGGCGTACACGGTCTACATACGAAACGAGAGTATCTCATCGAATATATGTATTAAAAGCTGCATTGTCGTGTAACAAAAAGTTCTCTTTGTGTTGAAAACGGAAACGGGCATCTCAGAGGTATGTATGCAGTTGAAAATGAACCGGCAGCGAGGCATTTAACGTTACAGGAAGTTTTCTCTGTTAAACAGACGTGAGCGCCTCCTGCAAGTTGCGCATCACAACCGCGAGGTCTCTGCACCGTTGCAACTTTTTGGCGCCAACTGACATTCGGAGTGCACACGGCCATTTAATCCAGTTTCTCACGACAATCGCGCACCGAGATCAGTACGTAAAGGATCGGCGATATTAACAACGGTCGTTCGACTTACGTTGCAGTCATAAAAACAGTTTCACGCCGGTTGTTTTAAACATAACCTCGGTATGGTTTCAGTGCCGCCAAGGAATGCAAGAAAACGGAGTGCTCCTGCTTCTACCAGCAATGCGAGCCAACCGAAACAGATTAAGAAGAAAGAAGGTGAGTTTTTCATTTCGTTGGCTTTCAATGATATTTTCGATCGATCCCATATACGATTTTTCGCGCGGAAACGATGGGAAATTATCTGGCGGGAGTATTCTCTCCAACGTAAAAAAACCACGATGCAAACATGTGTTTCGGAATAACGATCGATAAAATTGTTACGCGTCCCTGTCTGAAATCAGAATGTTACTTCTCCGTACGGTTTTCGTGTTCGCCTAAGTCGTGGAAAACGAATTTTCGCGACCAGCGTTGCGAATATCGCGCGTCGGATTTGTGCAATTAAAGGGGGATCGAAAAAATATTTGCACGCTCGATTTTCCTTGGAGAGAACAGCCTGCAGAGAAGTGGAAATTTCATGTAATTTAAATGTTTCGTTATTCGTTGAAATAATATGATCGCCTGTAAACGTTAGTGATTTACCGTTTGAAAAGTAATAGAAAAAAGAACGAAAATTTCAGAGCCAAGGGAAGAAGAGCAAGAAAAAAATTTGTCAGATGTTAACCAAGAATCGTTCTCTCTATTCGTTTATATGTATAATCTAATTTTTGGACCCACCGTGGGTAGCGCAGTTATTTATATGCAATTTTGGGTTTTACCTTTAGCTATAAAACCTGACTTACGCCAGTCTCGAGAGGGTGGTGTATTACTAACATTTGGACAAGGCGATGTGGGACAGCTGGGCTTGGGAGAGTATGTTGTCGAGAAGATTCGTCCAGCTGTTATTCCTGGATATCAGGATTGTGTAGCCATAGCAGCTGGTGGCATGCACAATGTGTGCCTGAGGGAAACAGGAGAGATCTTAACTTTTGGATGTAACGACGAGGGAGCGTTAGGACGAGATACTTCTTTGGATGGTTCTGAAAGCAAACCAGATACGGTCAAACTACCTGGGAAAGTCATCCAGGTGACTGCTGGCGACTCCCATAGCGCTGCTTTGTTAGAAGATGGAAGAGCTTTTGCATGGGGCTCCTTCAGGGTATAATTTTGTATACTTAAATATTTTTATGATTATTTTTAAGCAAACAAGCATTAAATCCGAATTTGTTTAATAGGATTCCCATGGCACCATGGGTCTCACATCGAAAGGAAACGAACAAGTCCCGATACAAATACTGCCAAATGTAAAAATACTTAAAATAGCATCAGGTGCTGATCACTTAGTTTTACTTAGCGAACAAGGACAGATATACACATGTGGATGTGCCGAACAAGGTCAATTAGGTAGAGTTGCTGCAAGAGCAGCTAATAGAAACACTCGACGTGGTATGGATCCATTGTTAGTCCCGGGTTTAGTCAAATTTCATATTAAGAAGAAATTAGAATTCGGCGATATATGGGCCGGAACTTATTGTACCTTCGCTAAAGAACATAACACAGGAGATATATATGTATTTGGTCTGAATAATTATTATCAGATTGGTAAGTTCAAGGGAAACATACCATATATAGAACAATAACATCTTTATATAATATAAATGGTTTCAGGTTTGAAGAATCCTACAACTCACTTCTTTCCACAAATAGCAAGAACCTTTAGTGGAAGGACTTGGAGACATATTAGTAGCGGGCAGCATCATACCATTGCTCTCGACGATTCTGGCCAAGTGTTTGTTATGGGTCGCAAAGAATATGGTCGTCTTGGACTTGGCGCTGATTGTTCGGATGCGATGGAATTAACGTTAGTCCCTTCGTTAAAGTCGTGTGTTGACGTGGCTGCAGGTAGCGCCCAATCTTTCGCTGTTACTGATTCAGGTAGGGCATTGTTGTTATTGCTACTGCGTAACTCTTTCTTTCTATTCTATGTTACCATATACATAACTTTACAGGAGAATTATATGCTTGGGGCATGGGTTCGAGTGGACAACTTGGTACAGGAGAAGAGGAAGATGTAGAAGTACCTGTATTAGTAAAAGGCAAACAACTCGAAGGAAAGACAGTGATTCGCGTGGCAGGCGGAGGTCAGCATACGTTAGTGTTAGCAGTGACTCCTTGAGTAGGAGAAAATATACACCCGTTAATTGAAATAATTGTTTAAATTTGATGTATCACCATGTGATACAAAAAAAATTTTGCACTACAAAATCTATTCTATTTGAGTTATCTGTACGTAAAAATGGTAAGAGAGAGATTATAATGAAGAATATTTTTCACAATATATTGTAATTTTTGGCATTGATGAAACAAGATACTTAAATCTGTACATAAGTTGTTATGCCACCAAAAATGACATCATTGTGTTTGTAATGTTTAATATATAAATAAACATTTTTCTACATACAAGGTTTCAACAAAAAAGAATATATCAATGACTTTGAAACCTTTTTAACAGAATAATTCTGAGAACTTCCTATATTTTAACTTCTCGATTTTATCATTTTAAACAAATAGTTAACGATAATTAAGAAATATTATTTTATTCAAATCTATATAGCTAAATACAGAATAACTTTTTCCACGATTTACTCTAATCATCCTAAACTACAGAAATAGTTTATGACTGAAAACGTTGATATTATCATCTAAAGATGAATGCTTCCGTCGTGGCTGAATTATCTACAGAAAAGGGAACTATTAAATGCGCAAGAAGAGGATTTACATTTACCATATGCTTAATAAATTGTTGCTTTATTTAATTTGCTTTAGGCTGTTCTGCAACTTTTCCTGTCAAGAAGTTTTCTTGTTGCACAGAAATCTGAGTTAGCTTCTTCCCAATGCGTTCATGTACATCCAGATATTTGGCAATGCAACGATCCAAGCATATGGACTCCCCTTTTGTTAATTCAGCCTCAACATATTTTGGTGGGATACATTTTCGATGGCAAGCTGACGTCATACGATTGTACATGTCGGACATCATCTCTATCTCTAATTCTTGCACCATCTTCATTTGATCCTCACCGAGTTGAGGTAAGCCAGCCATTTTTTAATTTAGTAATTTATAATTATGAAAGTTCTAACAGGTACTTTAGTTTGCAGTAGTAGCGTTTCGCAATCGTCGTCTTTCTTTCATTCTTTCATATCGTCTCGAATTTATATCCCTCTTTGATAGTACAAAAGAATACACTCCTACAACAGCAGCTAGAGTCCTATAAACAAACATCATAACACTTGATCTTTCGATAAATACATAAAATCACAGCAAGATAATAAGTAGGGGTAAATACATTAATATCACTTGTTTTCATTGAAATATTAATTCTATGCATATTATCTAATAAACGGTGAACCATGAAAGAAAAGATCACACGAGAAGAATAGTGCACACAATTGATTTAATTGCACATACCTACCATCCAATCCCTATTTTCGTTATATTTTGAAGACCCATACTTTTTTATCTTACGTTACAACATACTCTAGAATTACAAGTTAATAAATATGTGTACCTTTTACAATCATGCAACCATGTGCCTACAAGATCATGCGACCATGTGACTTCTCCAAGCTTGTAACCTATTTCAACTAACTCACTAGATTGGGCAGCGGACGAGTGAACCATGAATCAAACGACTGCATGAAGTTGGTCTGAATATATTCAAATATAGCAGATCGATATAGGTATTAGGAGTGAAATATGGAATCACAAAATAATAGTCTGGTATCTTTATTTTTACGAAATTATGATTCATAAAATCTGTCTTACATCACGTGTAATTAGTACATCGATTCTATTACTGTTTTTACATTAATGTATAATGCCAGAGCCCTATCTATTATATTAACTTAAATGACCGTATTAAAAATGCTAGAAATTAGTACTATTGCATATACGGTATTTATATCTCTTTTATTAGGGAAATTTAACAGCTAGAGAATATTTTCAGTGTATAGAAATATTCAGGAGATTCTTCGCCGTCTATATCATGGAAAAAGTATTTAATATTGTAAATATCCAGGACAGATGATTCTTACCGTTTTCCTGATAAGAGACTATGTTAAAAACGGCACGAATTATCAGCTACTGAAAATATTGAAATGACGCCATTAAACGTAGTGGCAAAACGCTGAAACTGTACAACGATTTAGTGTTAGTTTCCTCCGCTAGATGACGGCTCTTAAAATGTACAAACAGCGCCACTGGACCTAGCGGCAAAACGCTGAAACTGTTCGGTAATTTAACTTCACTTTTACATTTTAAGCTGCATTGACAAATGTCGCCATCTAGCGGAAGAAAGTACAACAAAGTTGTCAAACAGTTTCAGCTACTTGCCACTGTATCTAATGGCGCGATTTCAATATTTTCAGGTGTAGATAATGCGTGCCGTTTTTAACATAGTTTCTTATGAGAAAAGCGGCAAGAATCATCTGTTCTGGATATTTACAATATTGAATAAACTTTTTTTGCATGATATAGACGGAGAAGAATCTCCCGATCTGTATATTCTGTAATATATTCTGTAGCTGTTAAATTTCCTTGATTAAACACGATAAAATTCCGATTATCCGCCGTGCTAGAATCACAGAAATAACAGTTGTTCTTTATTTCGTTCCTTATTTCTTTATTTCGTTGTTTATTTCTTTTAGTTCTTTATTTCGGCTTTATTTCTTCACTTCGACGAAAGTAAGACAAGTTCAACTCTCGCCGAAGTTACAACTAAAATTGCCTTGGAATGAAACAATGCTAAATAATAAAGCAATTCGGATAATCGAAACTCCATTGTATTCAGGTTCTGTTGACTTACGCGTTCAGTGCATCGCATTCCAGTTATTCATGCTTAAAGTACACTTTAATATTCTTGTTAAGTAGTCGATGTAACAAGGAGATTACGAGTTCTTATAAAATTCTATGGTGATTAATCTGGCAGGATTAACGACTTCAGAGAATCGTCAGGGTATATTTCCAGCAACGCCGTCGTTCCAAAATTAAATGGCACCGCGATTCCGCTGTCAAGAACTAAACTACCGTCGTAGCACTGTGACCTGACTGTCAAATTGTTACAAAATCCACGAGAACTCAAAGATTTTGGTGCAGGCCATATATCGGTCACTATCATGTCTCTCACAGCATAACACAGTTTTAATTCCTCTGGAATGTAAAACAATAGTTAGCATACCATATTGTGTTAATGTTAGCATATCAACACCTACCAGCATCGAAACGCAGAGTGTTATTAAATCTGCTGCAGATTTGTTCAATCTCTTCCTTACTATACTGTTTCCTATCGCCAATAGTATTAATTATTTCGCGCACTATTTGCGGATTAACGCTGTTTATCGCCTTGTGCCACGATGTCGATCCCGTCCCGGTGCTAACGCACAATCCCGAGCTTTTTACAACATGATATCTCTCGTCGTTATCAACTTTGATCAGCAGATCGCTTGTTCTGGCTGACAACGCCTCTGCTATGAAAACCTGGATCAGAAGAATTTTGCTAATCGCTAAAAATTATGGGAGAGAAATTGCTATACGAAACCGAGATTTACTTCGTTCAACGCTAGCCAAGGTAAACGTCTCTCTTTCGGTAATTTGTTGGGATTTGGTTCGTCCGAGATTTCCGTGTTAACTCTGTAAATGAAATAGGCGAATGTTACAAATATTTTAAACGATGTCACTTGTCGCATAAATTGTTTGATTATATTACTTTCCGCCGGTAATAATGCGACACTTTTCGTGCGTATGGAAAGGTGGGGCCCAGATATCATCCCCCTGCAACGTGGTTCGGATTCTCCTCCTCATCAAGACACGGTAATGACCCGCCTCCAGCATTTCAAAAATATCGGGTATCCTGTTAGTGTATTTCTGCGGCAGCAACAGATAGCCCTCCGATCCCTCCGGATACGAATTAATGCCGATTATCGGTTTCTTGTTGTCGAATATCAAATTCGACGCGAGCAGAAACGTGCCATCGCCGCCGATTGGAAGAATCAGGTCGGCCCAGGTGAAATTCGACTGATCGAGATTCTGCCTGGAATATCGTCTTCGTTAACCGAGCAAACGTCAAATCTTCGCACACGGAAAATCGAAATTACCTATTCACTACTCTGTATTCTATGTTCTTCTCCTTCAGCAAATCGATCACCTGTTGCTGCACGTTCAATGTCGCGATGTGACCAGCCAACATGTGCTCATAATCGCTACCCCTTTCCAACAATTTCCTCTTCAATTCTGACTCGCTCAGATTGGGTTCTCGCAACTTTTCAAAATAATAACGGGACAATTTGCCAACGATGAGCACACGTTTCGGTACGAAGCTCGATTCGTTCCGAAGAAATTCTCGGAAACCGGTGCGAACATTATGTTTGCACGGTTGGAGGAATTTCAGTGCTTCTGTAATTAAAACGCGACCACCGTTCTCGTAAAGTTCTATGCCATTGGATCGTTAGTGCGTAGACTGCGAATCTTTGTGCGAAATCAAAATTGTCTTCGTCAATTTCAACGAACATAAGTCAAATAGAAATTTCTTTCTTCCTTCGATGATCTCAGTGAGTTGAAAATAATACACTTATGCCCTTAAATTTTGGAAATAGTTTCGCTGTCTTAAATTTCACTTACCCATTCTTATTATAAATTAACGAGGTATAAGAATGATCTTACGCGCAAAAGGTCGAAGATCGGGCGGGAAAAGGACTAGAAAGTTACTTTGAAACAATAACTATAAACTGTTCTTAATATTCAAGCATACAATAAACACGAATTTTCATTAAGAACCGAGGAAATGATTAAACACAAAGAAATCCTAAACATTCCAGCTGTGAGAAAAAATAATACGGGAATGGTTTAATAATGTTCTATTGAAGGTAGTTATACAGGATGTTCCAAAATTATTTTAACAGCCGAAAATGAGGGGTAGCTGAGGTCATTTGAAGTAACTTTTTCCTTTGCGAAAATGCAATCTGCGGCTTTGTTTACGACTTATTAACGGAAAACACTGACCAATGAGAGGTGACGGCGCGAAGTTCGAGAGCCCGCAGCACGAGGCTTTGATAGATGGTCGGGACGCACTCGAGCCGCGTTCGAAGTATTGAACAAATCACGAAGCGAGAACTTTCCGGATTTTTTTTTTACTACAATATTTTTAAGAAAAACGCTGTTCATCTTTACTTTAGAACGTCTCAAGAATATTTACTAATTTTTCGGACCCGAAATAATAAGTAATTTAACCGTGACGGCTGTTTTAATTTTCTAGTGTGCATGACACCTTGATATAACTTTGACATGACCTTGAAATAACCTTGACATAACCTTGACATGACCTTGAAAGTCAAGGTTAACATATCCCTTACGTCCTTTAACACGATTATAATTTATTAAATTAGCTTTGCGAATCATTCTGTATCATTCATAATCTTCACTGTACACCTTGCTTAAAAATTTCGTATGTTGACCTTGACATAACCTTGATATAACCTTGACATGACCTTGACGTAACCTTGACGTGACCTTAACATAACCTTGACATATCAAGGTCATGTCAAGGTTATATCAAGGTCATGTCAAGGTTACGTCAAGGTCAACATATGAAATTTTTAAGCAAGGTGTACAGTGAAGATTAACAAAGTACGTTAATTATTAAATTAGCTTTGGGAATCATTAGTTGAACCTTGCTTAAAAATTTCATATGTTACACACAAGGTGTCATGCACACTAGAAAATTAAAACGCCCGTCACGGTTAAATTACTTACTATCTCGGGTCCGAAAAATTAGTAAATATTCTTCAGACGTTCTAAAGTAAAGGTGAACAGCGTTTTTCTGAAAAATATCACTGTTACGTAGTAAAAGAAATCCGGTAAGTTCTCGCTTCGTGATTTGTTCAATACTTCGAACGCGGCTCTAGTCCGTCTCGACCATCTGTCAAAGCCTCGTACAGCGGGCTCTCGACTTCGCGCCGTCACCTCTCATTGATCAGTGTTTTCCGTTAATAACTCGTAAACAAAGCCGCGGATTGAATTCTCGCTAAGGAAAAAGTTACTGCAAATCATCTCGGGAATCCCTCATTTCCGGGAAGTACCATAATTTTGGGACAACCTGTATGTATAAAGCGCTTCGAGGCAACAAGTCTCATCCATTTTCACGGGCACATTCTCTTAGTTTTACAATACTTCAATTGACAGTTTCTCAACCGACCATTGTCTACGAGAAGATGTCGCTGTAATCAGCTTCGAGTGTTCAAGTCGGTACTGCAGATTAATACGGGCCATGCAAGGCCGCAAGATGTTATGTCTGTCCTTACTGCTTATTGTATATGGCATGATTATTAATTACAAATGTACACGACACTCGTTCAATTTATCTCGCATAGTATCGTTTTAACGTTAACCTTGTAAATTACCATCAATTGTTCCGTTATCATTGACGAAATCGAAGTTCGACTATATCGCGAAGTTGCAAGTAATTCATTGTGTCCGATTTTGTTGAAGAGTACGGAGTCGGCGGAAAATATGCATTCTAATACAATTTATACCGACACCCCAAGGATCAATCGGAAACAGTGTTTTGTTTAGCTAGCAATCGTTCGAGACAGCTGACGACGCGCATCCGCGACGGAATTAAAAGGTCAGATTTCAAATTTACTTACTGGCAGTTCTACGAAGATGGCCGTACGTCGTCATGGCATCCTGCTCGAAGGGTTCACTTTCGAATTATTTCTTACGAACAATGTGACAATAAAAACATTAGACGCGTCGGAACGTTTCTAACCTCTCTGCCGGCGACAGTACTGGATACCTAAAATCACATGTCAGCTTGGATACTTGCGCGTTCCTCGATTGGCGCGACAGAGAGATTAATTACCGACAGAGATAACAAAAACGCAGTATGGCGGCCGCGGAAAATCTGAATGCTTATTATTTTCATCTTCTCCCGAAAACGGGATAACACGCGAAAGAAAATAAACGGATATAAATCGTTCAACAAATATTGAAACACTGTATATTTCTCGCGTAGCTTTGACTCTAGCTGTAACCGCAATATGGCGGCCGTCGGTAATTCGAAATACTAAATTATCTTCGTCTTCCTTGGAAGAGAAATAATTTCTATCATTTTGCAGATAATATGGAAACTGATAAATTAATGAATAAATATTGAAATATCTTGTTCGATAATCGGAAAATATAAATATAATTAACATAGATTCCCCCGGACAGGAGAAAACTAAAGATAAAGTTGAAGATAAACTGTCTTTTTATCGGTAAAATAAGTTTCCCGCAGCGGACAATCTTCTTGTCTCTTAAATATTGAAATATCTTATTCGATAAATAATCGAAAAATATAAAGATAATTAACATAGATTCCCCGGACAAGAGAAAACTAAAGATAAAGCTGAAGATAAAATGTCTTTTTGTCGGTAAAATAAGTTTTCCGCAGCGGACAATCTTCAAAACAAAGTTCATTTTGTATCCCTCTTTGAGTAAGATTTGTACAAGATCGATGAGAAATTAATATGAAATTGAGGAAATTAAAATGTAAATCTCGATGCGCGCGCCGAGCGACTCAAATAACTCACAGAAAAAAGATTTCACTGTACAGATACACGCTTCGCTTACACTTTATTAATTCATTTGCAATACATTAATTAAGTCTGTTTAAATAGCATCGAGGCTACCTAACGTACGCCTTCGTTTTATACTATAGACAATCATCTAGCTTAAACACACACGCATGCATACGCACGCAGTCTTTCTTTCCGTCTTACGACAGACGTTCTTTCGTTCTGCTGGTCTCACTCGTTCTCTCGTTCGCTCTCTCGTGCCCTCTCTCGCTCTCTATCTCTCGCTCTCTCGTTCTTATATCTCATTTACGCGTAATTTTCTCCGTTTCCTCTTTAATTCTGTTCCATTATCGATATCATTTATCGTTATTGTTATTACCATTGTCATTATCATTATATCATATAATATACCATAAGATCGACGTTAAAAACTAAAATTCGTATAAAAAGCGTCGTTATTCATACTAACAATGTAACTGTACTATTTAAATAATAATTGAACCTTAAAAAATTATTTGTTCTTGTTGGTGGTGGTGGTAGTAGTGGTGGTGTGTCTGAATGTATGAAGATGTCTAATGCATCGGCTATAATACGAGGGTGCAAGGCGTGCATAAAGTGACGTACACATTTTTCACGCGTACTCTCTCTCTCTCTCTTTCTCTCTTTCTTTCTCTCACTCTTTCTCCTCTCGATTTTCATGTTTATTCGGACGTGGGACCCGAAGAACATCCGGTGAGATCGCGAAATGCCCCGATGTCGCGCTTCGAAATCATAGATCAACCTAAGCATCGCCGTGTTCTAATCGATTCTCCACGGGGAAAAAACAATGCGTTCGTTCGATGATTCGGAAAACTGCAATCAACAAAATGGAGAACAGGAACGAAACGTCCGTCGATAATCGTTCGCAAATGAACGTCGCGATGACAGTATTACGTAATGGAAGCGCGTTTTACTCGTTACGATCTCACCGGACTCGGTCGTTCCACGGTCGCACACACCTGGACAAGGTGCATTTCGTTGCACCGGATCCAGCGCACCCTGCAGCGTTCTTAAATCGTCGTTTTTATCTCGTAATCGTTTCACGCGGCATTTTTTTTAATAATCTAGCTAATACTTTTACATACTACGAATGTTTAGCACAATCACTACAGCCGAACCACTTCTCTCGATTTCCTCATTCTCGCCTTATTCCGCTCTCGTTCTCTCTCTCTCTCTCTCACTCACTCTCTCGCTCCGGATCTCTGTAATCTTCGTTATTATATAACTATCCGCTATTACGAGCAATAATGTACATCAATTACATAAAAAACAAGATATCATCGTTAACGGTTCTTAGTCGATCGTCTGTAGTCGCGCGATGGTCACACTTACACAGGAAGGTACCGTGGGTTATTAGAAACCCCCCCCACTCCCCCCCATGAAATTACTACCGACACCATCATCGTCGTGTTCCATGCCTCAGCCTGTGTCTCATACAAACACCCCGACACGCACGATACGTTACATTCCCCGGGTTGTTTAAAAATCTTGTCTGCCTAATCTCGTCCGTCGCCTGCGTGGGTACACTGCGCGAAATTTACGTCACTATAGCCCTAGTCGAAAAACACTCGAACGTCGCTTTGTTTCCATTAAAAAAATCTCTCGCACTACGGGACAACAATAGAATTCTGTGGTTTTTTTTTTCTCTTATTCGTTTACGTCGACAACGGTGCGCTCTCCTCCCGCGATTTGAGAACCGGATAAAAATCGGCAACGCTCTCGGATAAAATCGGTCTCGGCTAAAAAAAGCTCCATCGTTAAAAAGCGACCGGCGTTCGATGGCCTGACGAGCGTCGATCGAACTC